GGGAATTCCCATTCTTTTCAGTGTTGTCCGTAATTTGTCATGATCCACACAATCAAATGCCTTTGCATAGTCAATAAAACACACGTAAACATCTTTCTGGTATTCTTTGCCTTGAGCCAAGATCTATCTGACAACAGCTATGATATCTCTTGTTCCATGTCCTCTTCTGAATCCAGCTTGCACCTCTTGAAGTTCTCTGTCAATATACTGCTGCAGATGTTTTTTAATTATCTTCAGTAAGATCTTACTTGCGTGCGATATTAATGATATTGTTCTGTAATTTCCATATTCTGTGGGATCACCTTTCTTTCCAGCATCTACTAAATTTAAATCTTACCATCCCTTCAGAATCCATAGATTGTAAATGAATAGAATAGTATAACATAGTGTTAAATCATGTATTTCTCATATTTTCTTCTGGAGTTGTTAAGACCTGGTCTTCATTTCTTAACCCTAGAGGTTTTCCAACTACAAAAAAGCCTATAGGAGTTTTTCATTTCTGAGATTATTAAAAAATATGTATATATTTCGGGTAAGCCAGATTTAGGATATGGGACTAACACAAAGAATATAAACCTACTAACACAGAGAAAGTAAACATGGTGGTCAGTTTTCAGAATCTTTCCTACTCAGGGCTCTGGAGCCAGACTGCCTAGAATTTGGATCCCTCTTTCAACTTAGCAGCTGTGGGATCTTGGGCAGGTTGGTTGTATGTATGGTGTATAGGGCATATGGTAGGGACCAAGACTAAAAAGGTAGGTAAGATACAAATAATAAAGGGTCTTTTATAATATACAAGTTTCAACTCCTGTAAGTGGATGGAAGAATTTTAAGTAGGGAATTAACATGATCAGATTGTGCTTTAAAATGTTAACTCTTGGAACCATTTAACCAAAACAAAAAAACCAGACTCACTGTCATCAAGTCAGTTTGACTCATAGCGACCTCTCCTTGGATTTCTAAGGCAGTATCTCTATGGAAGTAGATTGCCCAGTCTTCCTTCTGAGGAATGGCTGGTGGGTTTGAATCCCCAGCCTTCTGGTTAGTAGTTAAATGCCTTAGGCACTACACCACCAGAGCTCCCCAGAACCATTTAAAGGGAGTGAATTATAGCAAAGTAGGACTGGAGTTAGTAAAGAAGTTGATGCAGTGATGTAGGTGAGACAAACGAAGAATAGGATTATTATGGATGAAGAAGATAAGATGAATTTGAGAGAGATTTAAGCATTAAGGGTGGATAAGACTGACTGATTACATATGGAGAGAGGGAGGAGAGAATCAAGGTTGATTTCTGTCTTGGATGACTAAGTCTACTGTGATGCCATTAACCAGCATAAGAGTTTCGGAGTATGGTGAAGGGATAGAATACAAATTTGCAGTTGAAGGACATGAGAGAATGAAATATCCATTGAGATCTGGAGCTTAAAATAAATGTCTGAATGTGCGAGAGAGAGACAGTGTGTGTCTGTGTATATAGGTGTGTGGGCGTGTGGTGTGTATGTATATATGTATGTGTGTATATAGGTGTGTGTGGCTATATTTAAATATTTATTTACATGAGTTGAGCAATTGGCCACTTTCTACCCTTTGTGGAATGTGGGGCAAAAGCGTTGCAAGTATATATTTTGGGGTTACAAATAAATTTTAGTGAGAAGACAAATATGCAAATACAGAATCAGCAAATAATTTGCAGTGACTGTACCTGTTTTTTAAAAAGTAAAGAATCACAGAAGTGTCTTAAAGAATCATTATATTATAATTATTTTGAGTTAAGTATGTCTAAAATAGAATACATCATCTTTCTCCCAAATTTGTTTCTCCCCCTCTTTTCATCTGGCCAAATGATAAAACACACTTTGTGTTACCTCTGTGCTTTATAACCAAACCCAGTGCTGTGGAGTCATATCCGACTCATAGCGACCCCTCCTTTAGTTTCTGCGAATCACTATGGTAGTACATTGCCCAGTCTTCCTTCCAAGGAGTGGCTGGTGGGTTTGAACCATTCTATATTGACCTTATAATGCCTATTGGATTATAAACTCCATCAGGGTGAGGTCACATCTGACATCCCTGGAATTTGGAATAGTGCCTGGCATGTAGTTAGTGTTTAATAAACATTTGAATGAATGTCACTTTATGCTGAGGCTTTATTCACCCATTGTTGTTGTTGCCGATTTAGTGTCCTTTTATGTGAGCTTATGTAGGAGTGGATGGGTTTATAGGAGTAAGGTTAGAAGTGAAAAGAGAAATGAGAACAGAGCCCTGAGGAACTCTGATGATGGAAAAAGAGTGGCCAGGGAAAGAAAAAAAAAAAAAAGAATTACTGAGAAAGACTTTTGCTATTCACAGCCTCTATTCTCTCTGTTCCCCATATCTTTAACAAAAGTCTAAAACTAGGAAAGGCTTGAGATACGGACAACCAAGCAGGGCATGGCTTCTGGACTGGTTAGCCTGCTTAATGGAATTTTTCACTACTGAATGCAAAACTATAACCCCTAAATATTTGCTGTTCCCCAACAGAAAACTATTACTCTATGAAAATGTCTATACTGTACCTTTATTCATGTCAGTCCTGCCTTAACATTGTCTCCTAAGCTTATTCCTGTGCAGTTATGACCACAACCAATACTCATTTTTATGACTATTCTAATAGATATAATTTCCAGCTCCCATGTGTTACCAAATTCAGACCCTTTGTTGAATCTGATATATGAAAGCTAGTGATACACATCTACCACCCATCAACACTTTGTTGTACTGCTGGTGGAGCAGTGTGTAAGGCATTTGACTGCTAATTAGAAAGTTGGAGACTCAAACCCACCAGCTGCTCTGCAGAAGGAAGATGATGGGGCAGTCTACTTCCATAAAGATTTACCACCTGGGAAACCCAACAGGGGTTATTGTGAGTTGGAATCAACTCAATGGCAGTGGGTTTGGTTTGGTTTTGGTTTATGGTTTATGTGGAAAGCTATGGCAATATTTCAAATACCAGCAGGGTCACTCATGGTGGACAGTGGAGCTTCCAGATTAAGATTAGGAAGAAAGGCCCGGTGATCTACTTCCAAAAATTAGCCCATGAAAACCTTATGGATCATAACTGAATATTGTTCAGTATAGTGCTAGACGATGAGCCTTCTAAGTTGGAAGGCACTATACAAGAGCTGCAACGATGGCGTCATGCATACTAACGATCATGAAGATGGTGCAGGACTGGGGAATTGTTATGTGTTCTGTCACACATGTTACCGTAAGTCAGAACCAACTGGCTGGCAACTAACCACAACAGTAATGTACATAACAATGGGCAAAGGTGGTATTCAGTTGAAAGCAGAAATTGTTATTTATAGGATAATGTGTTATAAATATATACAAAGGAAAAAAAGAACTTCATTATAATTTACTGATAAGAAATTCAGTATCTGGGATACTTTCAGGGAGCTCTGATGGCGTAGTGCCTAAGGTATTTGACTGCTAACCAGAAGGCTGGCAGTTCAAACCTATCAGCCACTCCTTGGAAAGAAGATTGGGCAATCTACTTCCGTAGAGATGCTGCCTCGGAAACCCAGGGAGACCCGCTATGAGTCCAGTCAACTCGACAGCAGTGAGTTTAGTGAGTGAGGATATTTTTAAGTTTCTGCCTAGTCTACTGTCTTGCTGTAAGTCCCCTGTCTATTTTCAAATTTCTAAGACAAATTTTTGAAGACTAGTGAGTATGGATTATTCAGCAATATGAAGTTCAAAGTTTAGAATAGTTTGAGTAAACAATATTTTGTGTGTCCTGGCTTTATTTATTTATCTATTTATAGCTCTGAAGATGGCTGTGGTGGATATCTATCATTCCAGGTTAAAGGAGAGACAAAGGCGAAAAAAGTAAGTATAGAAAATCATTCTACTTTCTTTCATCTTTAAACTGTTGCTGGCATATAGTGGTAATTCTGCCTGTGACTCATTTAGTGGCCACGGGGAAAACACTTACTGTCCTCCTTGGACATCATTCTCGCCATTTGTCACATGGAGATAATAATCCCCACCTGGCTTTACCTTCTTCTCACCTCTCACTGATGCTATGGTGACCAGCATTATCATTACATGGTACTGTTTTGAGTTCTTTGGGGAAAAAAAAGAACAAGATAAATTCATAGTGTTAATAAGGTCTTATGATCTATTTTAATTGATCATTTTTTATGAGAAGCCTTTCATCCAGAAGGATTTAAAAAAAATCCTGAACAAATTTCAGGGACTTCTGGTTATTTCTTCTCATTGCAATAGATCAAAAAATACACATTTATATTTAGAAATGATGAATCCCAGAGCCCTGTTGTATTACAGAGATTTAAACAGTTGAAGGAAGGGTATGCAGAGGGTGTGAGTGTGTGTATGTGTGTGTTTTTGTGTAGACATGTTACTGAGTACAGGCCCAGTGTATCTCAACAGTAAAAAGGAGAGTGACTTGGGAGGCACTCTTGAGGGATCACGAGGTGATTTAAGCTAAAGTTTACTCTCTGCATGTCTGGAGTTAGCCTTTATGAAGTGCTGAAGAAGCTTACCCAGCTACTCTTAGGAGAAGCTTCATTCCTAGCCATGAATACTTCCGGTAAAAATCAAAGGTTTCAGACACTTGACTGCACGGCTTACTTAAATTCTGTTTTGCTTAAAACACACAAAGGTAGAGAGTATTATGAAACGGATAGTAAAGATTGCTATTAGAGCTTATGTTTTATGATGCCCCTCCATTAAACCATGGAATATATGTATGTGTATTTCAAATTGCTTCAAAGCATTATGTAAATGCACAGTTGTAAATGTTCATTGTGTGATCATGGTACCCTTTTATGGTTAATGGGTTCCTCTTAGATGACAGTTACCGTTTTCCCAGTTTGAATAGAGTCATTTTTATGATGTGGACAGATTCCCTTCTGTTTCATCTTAAGGGCAGATCTATTTTTCAGTATTTGTGAGTGCCCATTGGTTCATTCATGCCAGTTTTGCCCAAGGAGAGGGAAAATACGTGATGCTTGGGAGCTTAAAATTATATGAGTGATTCACTGACCTGCAGAACTTGTGGGGAGTGAATTTTTTAGACTTCAGCGTTCCACCTCAGACTGTTTATGATTTCTAATAAAAGCTGCATGTGGAAGACATTATTAAATATGATACTAATTGTAATATACAGATTATTGTGGTTTTTCATTCCAGAATTATAAGAGACCATGGACTAATCAACCTTAGAAAGTTTCAGTGTAAGTATTAGCTGCTTTATTTTAAAATTTCTTTCATCACTATTAAATACTTTAAAAGTATTTTTAGCAGTCATCTTAATCCAGGTAGTGCATTAGCACCACCTAGAATGCTTTAAAAAATTCTGATACCTGGGCATCACCCCAGACTAAGAATCTTTGGGGATAGAGCTAGAGCATCTGTACTTTTTTAAAGCCTTCAGAATGATTCTGATGCATCATGAGAGTTAAGAACCATTAATTTATAATTAGCAACCCTTGAAATAGAATTTAAAAAAAAAACTAGTATAGTAATTACAGCATGAATATTAATGGAATATTTTCTGGAAATGGATTGGTTCATAGTTTGGAACTACATGTTAAACATTAGGTAACCTTGGTTGTAATAGTATTTTCATGGAAAAATCAACAGGAACCAATAGATACCTTTATTTTGCATGGTGGAGGCCAAACAAAAAGTTACATGTAATGTTATATGATGGTGATAATCTATAATGATATAAAAATGAATGGTAATAGTGATTTTATTGTTTTAAATATAGAAGATATCAAAGCCGGACAGAACAAGCTCTTGCACTTTTTCTTCTTTTTTAATGTAGCGTTTGTTCAGCAAATAAGAATGATGACCTCATAATAATAGTTACAATATTTATATAAAAATATATTTTTAGTTTATGTCTTTTCAATCTAAATAAATGTCTGTATATAGTTTTTTTACCTTACATAGCATAGTTTTCAAATTATTGTGATGTTTTGAGGATGTCACTTTTAATAGTTCTATAGCATGTGTTTATATGTATGTACATATATATTTAGATAGATAATTATTTGCTTAATCTGTCTTACTATATTTAGCTTATTTTCTGTTGTTTTAATCTTCACAAATAATGCTGTGATGAATTTAATTGAGAATAAATCTTCATTTATATTGCAGATTTTTTTTTTTAAATAATGATCTGGGTGAAAGTTTACAGAGCAAATTAGTTTTCCATTCACCAATCCATACACATTCTATTTTCTGGCATTTCCTGCAATCCCCACACTGTAACAGCACTCTTCCCACTTCCTCCCTGCACCCACCCCTTCCCTTCATCCTTCTTTCTTCTTCCCATCTCTTCAAGAAGTCCTAGCTCTATCCCTGGGCAAATGCTGTCCTCTTGATCTCATATGCTTGATTGTTCTGATGAGTGCATACCCCCTCCTGATACTGCTGTTCACCTTATAGGCCTGTCTCTTGTTTGGCTGACAGTTGAGTCATGGGGGTTAAGTTCAGTTTCTATCTTGAACGGTGTCTCAGAGGTTCCACCAGTCTTCATCAGTCCAATAAGCATGAATCTTTTTTATGAATTTGAGTTTTGTTTCACAGTTTCCAAGACCTCTTATTGTGATCCTTTTACAGTATTCAGCAGTGTTAGTGGGGCACCATCTAGTTATTCTGGTTCTCAGGGTCATGGAGGCTGGGGTTCACATGCTCCATTAGTCCTTTGGCCTAATTGTTTCCTGAATCTTTGATTTTCTTCACTCTTCTTTGCTGTGGACGGGGAGAGACCAAGAGTTGCACCTTAGATGGCTACTCGCATGCTTATAAGACCCCAGTCACTACTCCCCAAGGTAGGATTTAGAACATTGTATTTGTGGACTATGTTATACCGGTTGACCTTAATATCCCCTGAGAGCACATACCTGAGCTCAGTGACTCATTCCCTCAAGGTATTTGGTTATGACTAAGACATTCTCATCACTTGGTCCCTGTATGCTTTATTACATTCATGGATATATTTGCACTACATATAAATAGATAGTCAGAGATAGCCTCTATCAAACCTATATATATTCATGGGTGTCGTCCCATTCACCTTCCTATCTATATATCCTCTGGTAAATCACTGTTCTTGTTATTACTGCAGGATGATGTATGTAATAGTATTCACCTTTGTTGTCTTTAACTCTTATGCTCCTCCCTATGTCTTCCACTGCCTCGATCATTTTTTTATTGTATATTGCCTTTCCCTTCGCCCAAGATAATACCTGTCTACTCTGGTGGTGTAGTGCCTAAGGCATTTGACTGCTAACCAGAAGGCTGGCAGTTCAAACCCACCAGCCACTCCTCAGAAGGAAGACTGGGCAATCTACTTCCATAGAGATAGTGCCTCAGAAACCCAAAAAGGGGTCACTATGAGTTGAAATCAACTCGACAGCAGTGAGTTTGGTTTTTGGTTTTTTCCCTCTAATTGGTGGTTTTCTGTCCCTTCCCCTTCCACCCCTGCTAACCTTCAAAGAACAATTCTTTGTGTATGTAAACCTTTTCTTAACTTTTTATAATAATTGTCCTTTTGTGATTGGCTAATTTCACTCAGCATCCCTCTAGGTTCATCCATGTTATGAGATGTTTTGCAGATTCCATCATTATTCTTTAACATTGCATAGAATTACATTATGTGTATGTACCATAGTTTCTTTATCCATTCATCTATTCATGGGCACTTAGGTTGTTTCCATCTTTTTTTACTATTGTGAATAGTCCTGCAGTGCACATGGGTGTGCATGTATCTATTAGGGTCTTGGTTCTCACTTTTTTAGGATATGTACTTAGTAATGGAATTGCTGGATCAAGTGGTATATTTATTTCCAACTTTTTAAGGAAGCACCATACTGTTTTCCACAGTGTTATATCATTTTACAGTCCCACCAACAGTGTATGAGAGTCCAAATCTCTCCACATCCTCGCCAGCATTTGTTATTTTCTGTCTTGTTGAACTTTGCTGTTATTGCTAGGGTGAGATGAAATCTCATTGTTGTTTTGATTTGCACCTCTAATAGCTAATGGGGAGCTCTGGTAGCATAGTGGCTAAGACACTTGCCTGCTAACCAGACGGCTGGCGGTTCAAACCCACCAGCCACTCCTCAGAAGGAAGGTTGGGCAATCCTACTTCCGTAGTGATACTGCCTCGGAAACCCAAGAAGGGGTCGCTATGAGTCAGGGCTGACTCGACGGCACATAACAACAACAACAACAATAGCTAATGACAATGAGCATTTCTTCGTGTGTTTGTTGGCCAGCTGAGTATCTTCTTTGGTGAACTATCTGTTCATATCTTCTGCCCATTTTTTAATTGGATTGTTTGTCTTTTTGATGTTGAGATGTTGGAGTTCTCTATAAATTTTAGAGAGAAGTCCGTTGTTAGATATGTCATTGCCAAATATTTTTTTCCCAATCTGTAGGTTCTCGTTTTACTCTTTTGGAGAAGTCTTTTGATATGCATAAGAATTTAATTTTTAGAAGTCCCAGTCATCTAGTTTATTTTCTGCTGTTCGTACATTTTAGTTATGTTTGAAGTCTGTTTATGCCATATATTAGGGTCCTTAAGTTTGCCCCTATTTTTCTTTGATAAACTTTATACTTCTAGCTTTTACATTTAAGTCTTTGATCCATCTTGAGTTAGTTTTCGTATATGGTGTGAGATAAGGATCCTGTTTCATTTTTCTGCAATGGATGTCTGGTTTTGCCAGCACCATTAGTTAAAGAGACTATGTCTTCCCCATTTAATAGGTTCGGATTTTTTTTTTTTTTAAGATAGATTCCCAGAAGTGGAATTAATACATCAAAGGAGCGATCATTAAAAACTCTTGACACATGCTGCTAGATTGCTTTCCCAAAACTGTCATACCCATTTATATTCCTTCTACTGTGTATGGGATTGCCTATTTAACCCCATCCTCATCAAGAGCTATAGGTTTACAAAATAATTCAGGGTCAGATTTCCCTTGCCCATCTTACAGACACTAATTAGTCATGTTCTAGTAGCAACAGTAGTAAGTTCCTCTGTCTGAATTCCTGGGTTTCCTAGAAGAGGTCAGCTGAGTTCTGGTAGATACTGACTCTCACATAAATTTTATTCTCAGCTTGTAGACAGTTTGGGCCTCATTATCCTGTCCCCTGTATTTCTTAAACAGAGGGCTGAGAGGAAACTCTGTTGCTTCTGAGAATGTAGAAGTGGAAGATGCAATGTCGTTTCACATTGCCATTATACTGTATTCAGTTGCCATTGTACTGAATGTACACGTGACCTTAATATGGAAAGCAGGTTGGGTTTTGTTTTTCTTCTTCAAATTTTAAAATTCTTCTGTGTAAGTCCTGCAGTAAGGACTGTTTAATAGTGAAAATAATCAATGTGTGACTGCCGATCAGATCAGCACCTGGAATATGTGGACAGGAATGTTTCCTCCAAGGGAAGAGATTCATCTGAAAATGGGACTTAATTTAAACAACTGTCACAAATGAAAACTTTCATGGAGTTCAAGAGTAGACAGAACTAGCCTCAATTATCTGATGGAAATGACCAAGCAGCAGTTCTAGAGTTCCTGGTCCCATCAAATTATAATTGTTGATTGGTATTACTTTCCAGCTTCTTTGTCATTATCTCTATATGTTAGAAATGTGATCAGTGATGATCCCCCAAGTTGATGGCCCTGGCTACCCTGTATATGGTAGTTATCAAAATACAACTTCATTAGTACTAGATAAAGTTGCAGTACTTAATTTAGTTATGAGAAATTCAAAAGACCTATATGGAAAATGAAGAAATGCATGCTTTACTTGAGGATATAGATGTAGGAAGAAGATTCTAAGTGGGGCAGGCAATAGATCACACATTTTTCCCCCATGTGTATCTACTTCTTGTAGATGGATGATTTTGTCTGCAGTTCACTTGTTTTTCTGTGCAAGTTAATCCTAGAGATTTTCGCAACATTGTTCCTGAGAATGCAAAATCTGCCTTTAATTGTCTTTTTTTGGTACTGCCAGTAGTTCCTGCCCCTGTACACATTAACAGACAATAACTGTAAAACTTGAATTGGCAAAAGTTGTGTTATACATGTGTTTATAAGAACAACCAAAAAAAAAAAGAGAGAGAGAGAGAGTAGCTGCTGAGGCTGCTTATGTACAACCAAAAACCTCATGAGATTTGTTACCTTGATTTGGAGGTTTTGGGCTCATGGTTTCATGGGACATCCTAGTTAATTGAACTAGTAACATGTTTAATGCTTTTGTTCTACCTTCTATTTTGTTGTGTCTTGCCTGGGATCTTAAAAGCTTGCAAGCAGCCATCCAGGGCACAACAGTTGGTCTCTATTCACCTGGCACAACAGAGGAGGAAAGAGAATTAGGAATAGGAGAAGAGTATGGGATGTGTGGCTAATTGCCTCCATGAATAGCTGCCCCCTTTCCCGTAAGACCGGAAGAACTGGATGGTACCCATCTACCATTACTGAATATTTTGATCAAAAAGATTCCCTAGAAGAATCCTGATCAAAAGGGGAAACATGCAGAACAGAATTTCACATTCTCATGGACTCTAGACTTTCTGGAGCCATAGAGGGTGAATGAACTCCTGAAACTATTGCCCTGAAATAGTCTTTAAATCTTAAATCAAAAATATCCCCTGAAGTCCTCATAAAACCCAACAGTAGTTTAGCTTAACTAGTTAAAAAGTTATGCCTTGAGCATTATGCTCTTTCTTTAAGAACTGTCTATTTGGGATCTAACTGGCAACAACAACTTGAAAGATTAAATGGGAACCAAAGGGGGCAGTGTATGTTAATAAGGGAAGAACAACTCAGAAAAGGAGGATGAGAATGGTTGCACAACTCAAAGAATATGATCAGTGTTACTAGATTGTACACGTAGAAACTGTTGGATTAGTGTGTGTTTTGCTGTGTACATTCTCAACAACAAAATAAAATTTAAAGAAAAAAAAATCCAGATATGTAATAGTTTTAAAAAATATACTGTATATTAAATGAAAGAAGATGATTGTATAATAGATGCCATTTCTGGAGAACACACATTTGCTCAAATGTATAAGGAAATCTTCAGAAGCATACCCAAGAATTTAGGAAAGGGAACTGGATGACTCAGAGTCAGGGGTGGAAGAGAGAGTAATCTTTTGCAATATACCTTTTTGTAACTTTCAGAGTTTTACAATGAGTCCTATTACCTAATCAGAGTTTAAAGGAAGTAACATTATTTGGGGGTGGGGGAAGACAATGAGATGTGGGAGGTCATCAGGGTGCTGGCGAGTGGATGCTCTCCGGTGATGACAACATCCCTCTGTGATAGTTACTGTGACTGTTGTTATGATTAGTGTTTTGTACTCTTAGCTTTCCTGTTTACTTCCTGTCATTGGTTAGTTATGTGAGGCTAGGACTAATGTCCTATTTCACTTGTAAAAGAAATGCAGAAAACTTAGGGATCTTTACATTCTCCATGATCTGGTTGTGTTTTCACTTTTCTGTAGTAATGGAACGGCGCTATCCCAAGGAGGTCCAAGACCTTTATGAAACAATGAGGCGATTTGCAAGGATTGTGGGGCCAGTGGAGCATGACAAGTTCATCGAAAGCCATGCATGTAGGTGATTTTTTTTAAAATGCATTTTATTGAAATATAATTTATGTACAGTAAAATACACAAAACTAAAGTCACATGGGTCAATGCTTTTTTTTTTTTTGCAGTGTTCCTTCTCCTCCCCTCCCACCCCTGGCAACCAACAAAGAAGATTTCCCTCCATATGTAAACCTTTCCTTGACCCTCCACAACAATGAACTAATACTTCTGTGATTGGCTTATTTTACTCAGCATAATGTCCTCCAAGTTCATCCATATTATGCAGTGTTTTGCAGACTCTACATTTTTCTTTAGTGCTGCATAGCATTCCATTATGTGTATGTACCGTAGTTTGCTCATCCACTGTTCTGCTATAAATCTTAGAGATAAGTCCCTTGCCAGATATGTAATTATCAACAAATATTAATTTGTTGCTATCATTTTTGTTAAGTGCTTTTTCATGGTGTCAATTTCTTTGTTCCACATAATTTTCTATGCTGAGCTCATTTTGTTTATGAATTGTGTTATCATTTCCTTCATTGCTGTTGTTTTAGTATTTTCTGAATATTTATGCTGGTCCTCTTTTTTGATGTGAAAGTTTATCATTTTTCTTTGAGGTTACCCTGTGATTTATAGTTTTCTTTCGAAGTTTAGAACAGTCCGTTCTACCTTGTAGTTGTCTTGACCTCCTTACCATCTAGAAGTTCTGTAACGACGCAATTTTTTCCCTGTTTTTGGTTTGTAGTTGTCCTCATTTGTCAATTTATGTCACTGGTTCCCTGTTTACAATATTGTAGGCTTATTTACTTTGGATACTTCCATAGCTGGGTTGGTTTCTGGATTATATCATCGTGTATGTTAATGGTCAGTTGTTGTTGGCTGTTGTTGCTTCTGTGTCCAAAGGACTCCCTCTAGCATCTCTTGTAAGGTTGGTCTGGTTTTAACAAATTCCCTTAATTTCTGCTTATCTGGAAATGACCTAATTTCACCATCATAGTTGAGGGACAGTTTTGCTGGGTACATAATTCTTGGTTGGAAGTTTTTCTCTTTCAGTGTTTTATATATACCATCCCATTGTCCTTTCACCTGCATGGTTTCTGCCGAGAAATGCAAGCTTAGTCTTATTGGTTGCCCCTTGTAGGTAACTTTTCGTTTTTCTTGTGCTGCTCTCTTGATTCTTTCTTTGTCTTTGGTTTTGGTAAGTTTGATGATGATATGTCTTGGTGATTTTCTGTTGGGGTCTATCCTGTTTGGGATTCGTTGGACTTCCTGAATAGATATATTTTCATCTTTCATCATACGAGGAAAATTCTCTTCCAACAAATCTTTGACAGTTTTCTCTGTGGTTTTATTTGTCTCTTCCTGTTCTGGAATTCCGATTACATCAAAAGGAGTAAGATGGTATCCCACATGAACCCCAGGCTTTCTTCATTTTGTTTTGATCTTTTTTCTGATTGATCCCTTTCCAAAGAAGTGTTTGGGTACCTGCCCTCAATCTCCCTAACTCTGTCTTCCATTGATTGAACTCTACTCCCCTACCCATTAAATTTCTTACCTATTTCTGAAAATTTGGAGCTCTGGTAGCATAATGGTTAAGGCACTTGACTGCTAACCAGAAGGCTGGCGGTTCAAACCCACCAGCCACTCCTCAGAAGGAAGGTTGGGCAATCTACTTTCGTAGTGATACTGCCTCGGAAACCCAAGGAGGAGTCACTATGAGTCGGGTCGACTTGACGGCACATAACAACAACAACAACATTTCTGAAAATTTAGTGTTAATCTTCTGGATTTCTGTGTGTAGATTTTGCATTATTTCCAATTTTTTCATTTATCTTGTCATTTTGTTCTTGCATTGTCTTTTTAATTGATCTAGAGTTTTCTCTGTGTTTTCCTTGATCTGTCTCTCGATTCATCAAAGATACCTAAATATAATTCTTTGGAATTCCTTATCAGGGAGTTCCAATGCTGCATCTTCCTCGGGGATGTGTTTTGGGTTCATGTCCTGGTCCCTTGTCTCTCCTGCTTTATCTTGCTTCTTTGTGTGGACTGATGCTCTGTTGTTTCTGAGGCATTGTGATGTTTTTTGTGTTTATATTTAATTGGTCATTGTATGTTGGAATGACTTGCCCACGATTTTTGTTTTTTTTGTTTTGTTTGTATGTTATCTATGTAAGCAGGGTACTGTGCTATGCTCCTGCATTTGCTAGTTGACAGCACTTATATACTCACCACCTGTCTCCTTTCCTGTTGTCAGCCTCTCATATGCCCCTGCCAACCTTGGCAAACAGAGCCTATTCTTAGGTCCCTGAAATCCAAATGAGAATGCCATCACTTTAAAATCCAAAATGGCCACCGCTTGTAAACATTCAAAATGGCTGCACCTTCTGTCGCTTTAAATATTCAAAATGGCTGCAACGTGTGAACAATCAAAATGGCTGCACCCTCCAGGCAACGGAAAGTCAACAGCTCAAGTTGTCTCCCTCCTCACCATTTCTCCTCCCAGTCATGGGCCATCAGTGCAGTCGTCCCTGCAGCCCTTGGAGATCAGGGCTGATCTTTAGCTCAATTCTCAGGTCCCAACACCACTTGGAAATAGTCAGGCTGTTGGTCCCACCAAGGTAGCCGACAGTCCGCAGCTCTGGCCATCTCTGCCCTCATTGTTTTTGTTCACGTTTTTCCACTAGTTGGTGCCCAATCCACTTCTGCATAGTTCCTTTCAAAGCTCAGGGCTCCAGGATTATCTTCTGTATCTCTGTTAATTGGTTTTTCTTTTCTTTGTTGAAGAGGGACTGTGTCACTTGTGTGCCTATTCTTCTATCTTACCGGAAGTCCATGTGTGTAGGTGATTTTTGAGCCTTGAGCAAATATTTGTGTGTGTGAATTTATATAAATAGAGATAATAGTGTGTTTTATGTGAAGATTAAAAAGTCTAATGGCTTATTTTTTCCCCCAGATAAAAAGTTTAGTAATGTTTTCCCCCTTTTTATTACAGAAATTTTCAAATGTACACAGAAGTAAAGATAATAGTGTAATGAACCTCCATATATCTATCACCTAGCTTCAAAAATTATCAACATATGGCCTGTCTGGTTTCATCTTTACTACCTACCCTTAATTGGGTTATTTTGAAGCAAATCTCAGACATCATATATTTTCCCCATAGATTTTTTAACATTAAAACTAGTTTTAAAAATGGAGTTGGATGACTCCTAGATATGGTACTTCAATCATTCCTCTTGCCTTTCTCTGGAGTATTCCTGAGCTCTACCCAGTTACCATTTGATTATCACTATAAAAAATTGAAGTTGTTTAGACAGTAAGACCTAGACTATAATACAGTCCAGGCTGGGTAGCTTATTCTGTAGCTTTCTTCGTTAAGATTTATGTGTTTGGGCCCAAGTTCAGTTCTGGAAAAGTGCTTTACCTTCCTGTCCTCATCACACAAGTATTTCTTGCATAAGCATTGCATGTATTTATCTGAGTCAGATTGGTTGTTCTCACCAAATCCCGTTTGATTGGCATTCTCTATGTGGTTTGTATTAGGTGAGTACAAATCTGGGCGAGTGATCCTTGATCCCTGAGCCTGTGCCATCCTGGTGTATGTGTCACCTCCAAAGAGCTACACCCAGGGGCTGTCCACGCTCTTCCTTCATCCCCTGATTCAAAAGCACCCAAACTTGAATGTTGTATCACTTAATAACCCCAGCTAGTGCAGCTTGGTCTGTGTGCTCAGTCAGAGGAGGCAAAAATCTTTGCTTTATGGAAAACAATGCTCTTTTGTCCCTGTAGGAGAAAAGCTGTAAAGAAACTATCTGGAGCTTTGAGCGCACAGATCATTTGCTTTCTTGCATTAGGGCCACATCAAGTAATAACAGACACATGTTTCATAGAAGAATTTAGTTATGCAGGTAGAACTTTCAACAGCAGGGAAACTTGATTGCTTAAAATACTGTATTTATTACTTCTGTAGACAAATAAACCGAGCCAGTTCACTGTATGTTTTCTAAAAGACAGTCGCAGCTGCTATCTCCAGGATATGGCAGCTGGAGGACAGCTGGAGTAGGTTTTTCTCACGAGAAGCTACCAACCAGTAGGATCCTCTAAGTGGAATTACCCAGTCTTTTATAGAAGACAGAATTGCTAAAAATACTCAACAGCAAAACTGATCATTCTTGTTGATTTTTGTTTTTTTCAATTCTTCTCTTTGTTCTTTTTGGGGAAAACAGTGGAATTTGAACTCCGAAGGGAAATCAAAAGGCTCCAGGAATACAGGACAGCAGGCATTACCAGTTTCTGTAGTGAGTATGCATATGCTACACACTGATAGTATCTTCCAGACACATAGAGGAAAGCCTGAGATGTTGTGGGATTTTTTTTAAAAAAACATTTTCCTTTTTCAGAATGAGCTTTTGCTCTCTAGTAACATTTCATCTATTTAAGCCCTACAAAGACCTTATATGGATTATCTGAGGTAGAATAAAAGTCAAAACACAAAGAAAAGAGAGGTGCTCCTTTAGATTTAGGATTCTACTGTGACCAGTTAAAAAAAAAGTTTTACGTCTCAGGCTTTTTAAATTTAGTGATGCATGGCCTAATCATTCATACTAGCCAAGCTTTAACTGACTGTAGATGTTTGCATGCATCCCACATACTTGATTAGGATGGTGGTAGTAACATCTACAGATGCTTACCATGCACCAGACCCTATGCTAAACATTCTACCTGGATCATGCTATTTGATCCTCATTCCAAACTCATGAGATATGTTCTTCTATTTCTATTTAATGAAGAAACTAAGGTTTAAAGAGATTAAAGAGGTACATAGTAGTAAGGCCAGGTTATAAGAGAAAGCAGTGGATTGCCATAATTAAGAACTTGGGGTCTAGACCTGAACTCGACTAGGGTTTGAATTCTGGCTCTCAAGTTTGCTAGTTCTATGATTCTCCAGTTACAGAAATTTTCCAGATCTCTTAGCATTAGTATGAAGATTAAAGTATGTGTAAAAACATAGCACTATACCTAGCACAGGGAGCTCTGGTGGCATAGCGCCTAAGGCATGTGACTGCTAACCAGAGGGCTGGCGATTCATACCCACCAGTCACTCCCCAAAAGGAAGGTTGGGCAATCTACTTTTGTAGTGATACCACCTCACAAACCCCAGGAGGGGTCGCTATGAGTTGGGTCTGACTTGACAGCAGTGCATTTTTTATACCTAGCACACAGTATATCCTCAGTAAATAGCTTCTGTTGTTGTATTGTTTAAAATAATCTTTCCTGTTCCCTCCTTTTCCCGTTTCAAGTCCCCCTGACGATTGAAAGCTGTTAGCCACTACCTGTGGGTAGCTGTGCTTCTTAACATATCCCTGTGGATATAAGTTCAGTTTAGTGTAATGATTCTTAAATTATTTTTGATAGCAGAAAGCTATTTGAGATGAAATTTTATGTGGAACTCCAGTTTATAAGATAAAAATGAAACTGCTTTTGTTGAGATTGATGGTTCAGGTTATGTGTAGACCCCAGTATTTGGCACTGTCCTTGCTCTTCACAGTAATCCCTGAGATAAGTATCCCATGATATCCTGGGACTCTGTGGAACATAGTTTGAAACCTGCTGCTGTGGTATTTTGGAATCTGTATACCCTTGTTAACATGGGGTGGGGGGGTACAGAGCAACTTTTTTGTTTAGCAAGATGTATATAAAGACTGATACCTAATTTTGTTATGTGATACTGATTGCTTCTGGGAGAGGTGAAAGAAATTGCACTGGCCAAAGAGGACTTATTTTTATTTGTAATTCAAATTATTTCTTAAGGAAGACTATATTATTTTAAAACTTGTGTGATACTGAAAAATACATAAATAGAAAAAATAAGATAGGAAATAAACACAACATTATTAGTTACTTTTGGGGGTATAAATAAAAGCGACTGGTATTTTTGTTATGCTTTTTTTTTCCCCCCGAAATTTCTTAATTATGGAAGAGGAAAAAAAGTCATTTGGTATCAAGAAAGGAAATTTCAGACTGGGGAAATGTACATTGTTCTTGAAAAAATAATTGTGGAAGAAGTTTTGCTAAGGAAACCAGAAAAAGACCAAATATTGGCTGGTCAGTTAGGATGCCCTGCAGTTCTGTTGCATGGCCATTGCAGTCATGGTATTTTCTACACCTCCAGGTGCCAGAACCTATGATCACCTCAAGAAGACACGAGAGGAAGAGCGCCTTAAACGCACCATGCTCTCTGAAGTCCTCCAATACATCCAAGACAGTAGTGCTTGCCAGCAGTGGCTCCGCCGGCAAGCTGACATGTGAGCAATTAGTCTAGAGTGATGGAGACATTTCCTTCTTGGACACTTTGGTTTTTATATGTCTTTTCTGACACTTCCATGGGTATCCTTGATGGCAACTAGAAGAATTCAGGAAGATTTTAGCAGTCTATTTTATAAACAGTACATTACTGACAGTTTTGATAAACATACTTGACCTCTGAGATCCTACTTTGTTACTTTGGTCTTATTTTAAAAAATCAGTGTATTTCCCCTCAGCCTTCCCCCCATGCACCCTCTCCTCCTCCGTATCTACTGATACAGTTTCCATGGGAGAATCCCATTCTTATCCCCGCCCCATGAATCATCTCAGTGGTGTTCCAGGCTAAGAGCTTGTCTTAACAAGCCCAGGACTTTTCCCCCCAGAATAGGATTTTTTTCCTTGTTAGTACAGTGGCATATCCTGTAAAACACAGTCTAGTCGATTTCATTATATCTCTTCAAAGTGACCCACCTGAAGAATGGTACCCAGTCAACACAGGAGCTTTTGTAATTGCCTTTTTTGATGTGACATAAGTTTAAATTATTCTTCTTCATTATAGTGATTCCGGCCTGAGTCCTTCTATTCCAGTGGCTTCAAATTCAGGTAATTATTTCTCAGCCTGGAGCAAGTCTTCAGTGTGAAGTGTGCATTGTAGGAATATGGTGACCTATTTACACTCCTTCCCCTTTTGTGGGAGGGGGGTGATTAGGAAAAGTAATGACAAGCAAATGTCAGTCTGGTTTATAAACATCAACAAGTTTTCAGGATCTTCATGGCCAGTCAAGGACTATCCTCAGAGTTAAGAGTACAGAGAGACAAGGAAAGAAAGAGTTTCAGAGAGGTCTCTTCTTTTTTTACTAATGTTCATGGTTAGTTAATTTACTTGTGGTTGTATCAGGTATAGATTTTGACATCTGTCCCACAAGGAAAAAATAAAAGCTTTGTATCCAACATGAGCAAAAAAGCATGTTATTTGCCAGAAACCCCAGCATTTCTTTGTAAGTTGGAGACTTAAAGTATTTGTTTCTTAGCTTTTTCTCCTTGGGTGTGTCCTATTTTTAGGTTAATTTACACAGCTAAAATAATCTACATAGTGTCTGCTAATCATTAGGATTAGTAATCAGTGACTGGTAATTTGGGGAGGTATTCGTTATATAAGGAACTCTGAAACCAAGAGTGCAGTGTTTCTTTGCCCATTTTCATGGTTTCCTTCTCTGTCTGTGTGGTAGGGTAGGCATTTCCCTTAAGCATAACATATGACCACTCCCCTGAATAGAGAGAGCCAGAGTAGTAGAAAAGACAGCAGGTTTAGAGTTTTAGCATTCTTCTGAGGCTTACAGCAACAGCCCTGCGATCCCATTCAGAACCTCCCAGTAAGTTCAGGATTTAGACAGGGCTCAGAAAAGGCCTCTTTAGAGATGAATTTTTTTTTGTCTTTCATTCCTTTGATTCTAGCAATTATTTTTAATATGTAAGAGAGAAAAGGGAACCTTCTAGGGAGTTGCTAAGCCAGCTAGATAAGAGTTTTATAAGTTCCTTACTTCCTGGCACCTCTTTCTTCTCCTCAAAAAGTCAAGTACAGAAATACCGATAACTTAACATTGGCTAATTAAAATGAATGAGCAAGTTAATTTGAACATGTGACTTTGATATTTGTAATTTCTGAACTGACCTTACTCCCATGTTCATTGTTACTTCCTAGGCTAGTGTTAGCCTTCCTCACCCTCTGTGTTTAGATTGCAGGGCCCCTTTTTCCCTTTCTGCTCTTGTTGCTTCTGAGGCAATGCAAAATCAGAAACCTGGCATCATCATAGCCTAGCCTCAGAGAACTTTTGTGTGACATCAAATGATTTTAATCTCCATTTTTGAGCATTTTTGATAAGACTAGTTCTGCTGGTTGTACAGAAGCCCTTATTATCTTCTTTGTTTCTAACAGAGCAGCCTGTTAAAGAGTCCATCCCTTTTGACTGCTCCCCCTAAAATGTAACCCCCTTAAAACTTGTTAATAATTAAGTCTACATTTTCTGTTGTATAACTTAGTTAATCTACCTCCAACTGAACCCTAATCCAAAATATACATTCAAAACAAAAAGAACTTTGCCCATCTAGTTGCCGGTCCTGGGCAGTGACCTCCTTCTTGGGTTTCTTGCCCAGGTATGTGATCTCAGCCCCTGCCTTGCAGTATAATAGCTCATTGTGTGCATCTTTTAGGTAAACAAGGCTACTTTGGAAGAAACAGATACTCCCTCACATAATAAATAAGAAGGGCCTTATGTTGGCCTAGCAGTCTGCCTTTGATCTGAAGGCAAATGGTACTTAGTTAATTACCATGTTTACCTTGTGCTGCTGGCAGAGTGACCAGGATTAGGGAATACCTCTCCTACAGAGTTGACATTTCTGTTTATCAGTTGTGAAGGCAGGCCATGTGTGACCTTTCTTAACTCTTAACTGAATAATATCTGGACTTTAGATTTTAGGGGCTCCCCCTTGGTTAAGAAGAAATAGGTGATAACTATTGTGAGTAGTCATTTGATGCTGTGGTATGTGTGAGTGTATGTGTATTTTGGTAGAACGGAGGGGCACATGGATTACCATTAGTATTTCCAAGTGAAAGTTTGGAGAGCTCATGTTGCTAGCTAAACTGAGGCCTGAGCAGAGGAATAAAAATTTCCTACAGCTAGATACATGATTTCTTCCCTAGCTGGCCTGGCTGCACGGGACTTTATATATTTTACCTGAGGAGTTATCACACCTATGAAATATATATAAGGAGCTCTGGTGGCATAGTGCCTAAGGCATTTGACTGCTAACCAGAAGGTTGGCGGGTCAAACCCATCAGGCACTCCACGGAAGGAAGACAGGGCAATCTACTTCCATAAAGATTTACCGCCCCAGAAACCCAAAAGGGGTCGCTGTGAGTTGGAATCAACTCAGTGGCAGTGAGTTTGGTTTGGTTTTGGTATGAAATATGTTGTCTTTTCTATCCACGTTACAGGTAGACGAAGTGCACCACCTTTGAACCTCACTGGCCTCCCTGGCACAGAGAAGCTGAATGAAAAAGAAAAGGAGGTAACAATAAAAAGGGAACTAGAGGAAAGAGAAGAGGGGCTGGTTATTCATTGAGTTGTCACCAAAACATTGTCAAACCCCTTTTGCTCTAGTCATTTGACATATCCGCACAGTTATAATCTATTCTAGGAGGTCCGAGACCTACAGACTAGTCTCAGGAGTTTTCAAAGAACCGAAGAACCCCTTTCCTCCTCTTCTGCCACCATTCCTCTTTTGGGGGAAGAACATGTTTTGTTAAAATGCAAATAGTAGTAGCACCTGTCATTCATTGGGCACTTACCATGGGCTGGGTAGTGTGCTAGTAAGTCATTTATGAGAGTAATTTTTTATAAACCTAAAACAACTTTTTCATGAAAATGAGCGTTTCCTATTTGAATGGCCCATTTGGAAGGTTCTACACTTATTCCAATAATATAACTCTCACTTGTAATATTTTTGGTATTGTCACCAGAGCATGCTTACAACCATAAAAATAATAATAATGTAGTTACACATTAATTTGAATTAAAAAAAATACCCTGACCTACTTTTACACTGCAATCACCTGACTTGTCTTTATACTGCTTTTGGCTGTTCCTAAATTTTAAACCCACCTTCAAAAGAGTCATCAACAGTTTTCAAAAGAATGTGCTCTGGCTTTGAAGTCCATTTCAAAAGAGGAATTCCTCTTGTGCTCCTCATATGCCCCTTTTATAGTTTGCAAGATCAGTGTCCCTGTCTGCCGCCCCATAGATTAGGTTGGTCAGATAATAAGGAGGAAACAGTATGGGGGCTGATACAGTCAATTCTCATTATTGTCAATTCCATATTTTTGAATTTGCCTACTCACTTCCTAAAGCTTTTTTTGTAGCCCCAAAGTCAGTACTCACAGTGCTTTTGTGGTCATTTGCGGGTACATGCAGAGTGGGGAAAAGTTTAAGTTATCTGATGCCCACATTCCCAGATGAAATTGAACAAAGCCATGCTCTACCTCCATGTTGCAGCTCTCACAGTGTAAACAAGCATCTTTTTTGTGTTCTATTTAGTATCACGTTTTTTGCATTGGTGTACTTTTTATTGGTGATTTCTGTTTCACATGGTCCCTAAGCATAGTGCTGAAGTGCTGTCCAGTCTTCCTAAATGCAAGAAAGCTGTGATGTCACCTACAGAGAAAATACAAACGTTAAACAGGGTTCATTCAAGTATGAGTTATAGTGCTGTTGGCTCTGAGTTTCATGTTAATGAATCAACAGTACATATTAAATAAGGTGTCTTTAAGCAGAAACATAGATAAAACAAGGCTATGTAACAATTAACAAAATGTAGTAAACAGCAGCTTTCAGGAACCTAACTTTGTATTTCCCATAGAAGCAATGGCTCAGTATTTACTAATTCAGTGTTCACATTGAGTTTATAAAAACAAAACTACCGCAGATAATGAGAATGAGTCTTTTATTTTATCCACCAAGAGCAATAGAGATTAGTTTGGGAGTAGAAACAAGTGTGTATCTAAGTATTTCTATGAAAGTCATAAGCCAGTCTGATTAACTGTTGAATGGCCCAGAATTTCAAGCAGTTTTTACCCTTACCCACCTAATGGTGACCGCAAACTCCTCATTGCTGATGGCGGATAAACTGGAATTGAGCCAAGTTTCTAGATTTTTAGCAGCTGGGATGACCTCTTCCTGATAAGGTCTCTGTATTTTCTTTCCTTCTGAAGTAGGAAATCACAACAGCAGGGGCCTACTACTTCATACCAGTGCTGGAAATAATGTGACTCACACTTAAGAATCAAAGTGTCCATGCCGTCACCCACACCTGCTTGTGTCCTGTGGCTCTTCCCTGACTGACCATGTTGGAATGATGCTGGGTTTCTAGACATTTAATGGTTGACTCCTCAGTGAGCCAGGCTGCTCCTAAGGCACACATGCCTGACAAGCCCAGGCACTGAGCCACCCTGCACGTGCTAAAGGCTCTCCTAACATCACACCCTGCTGGCTTTTTCTTCCTAGGTGTCATGTCTTTAGGGAGTGTTCTCTCCAGAGATGATACTCAATGGAATGTGGTCCAGTCACCCAACAGCTCCTATAGTTGGAGGTTGATGTCACTCTTTTTGGTTTTGGCTATACCTGTTGGATTGAATAATGAGAATGACAAATGTTAATGTTTATTAAATTTGCTGTGTCTTGCAGCTTTGTCAGATGGTGAGGTTGGTCCCTGGAGCCTATTTAGAATACAAATCCGCTCTGTTAAATGAATGTAACAAGCAAGGAGGCTTGAGACTGGCACAGGCAAGAGCACTGATCAAGATAGACGTGAACAAAACCCGGAAAATCTATGATTTCCTCATCCGAGAAGGATACATCACTAAAGCCTGAGGCTCTAAGGACTTGGGATCAGAAATCAGAAGTTTGGAATGTTGTGGGCTGAAGATAGTGTGCATTCTGAAGAGTTGTTTTTGTGCTGAATTTTCACTGTAAAAAGAGAGGAAGGACATAGGAAAACTTAAGTTGTATTAATGTCTACTTTCTTCTCCACCCTGCTTTAAAAACACTCCTGTTGTTAGTATTGTGCTACAGAGTTTTGTGCTAGATAAGTTATTATTAAATGTGAGTGGGCATTCATTCCTAACACCTCTTGTAACTAAAACAAGAACCATAGTACCTCACATCACAGTATTGGTAGAAATAGAACTAAACCACAGTCGTTGGTCCCAGGAGTCCAGCTTGGATTCTTGTGGGTAGGTATTCTGATGACCTGTTCTGCCTTTAAACATTTGCAGACAGATAAAGTTTTTAAAATAAAGAGAAGGGTTATAGACCATGAGAAGGTTTTCTCTTTCCTTCCAAGATTTTTGAAGCTGACAATTTATATTTATGAACAAAAGGGATGAAGATCTCCCCAGGATGGTCTTGTCCCAAATTACATCTTTAGCTTTAATGTCTGGCTTTGTGTTTTGCAGTCTGGCTGTCTAATCTGCAGTAGACTTTTGAGGAGGTGGCACCAGTTATAAAATGTCTCTGTTATTTTTAGAATTAATGGATTAAAATGTTTTGCTATGTAATTTGTGGGTGTGTCAAATATTCTGGTAAGTAAAGCATCCTTAGGGTATTGGATGCCTGTCCCATCATGCTACACTGTCTCTGCTAACATGTGTGTCCTGGACTCACCCGTTCTTATCCTGGTTTACTCAGGATACCAACCACAGAGGACGGAGGTGATGCACCTGACCTCAGCTTTGCTTAGATCTGAGACCTTAATCCTAATTTCTCAATGTTGAAAAGCAAGCCTATAATAAAAGCTACTTTTGCTCATATAAAACAAAAGTAAAGCAGTTTCGTAGATGGGACTCCCTAGATAGGAGTGTGTAATCTCACCATATCTGAAACTTGGTCCTCAAATCATTCTGAAGAATAAGAAGCCAAACTCATTCATAGCTATCCCATTTCTGTTAGAAGCAAAGTTGTACATAGAACTACCTTTTTCAAAATCTGCAAAAATGTCATCGAGTACCTGATTGATTCTTTAGTTCCTTCAACATTCAAAACATCTGATTAAAATATTGTGTGCTTTACTTGAAACATCTGCTCAAACTTTTTGACTGATGGAAACAGGCATGTATTGCTAACAGACTTCATCTAGGTGTTGATAAAAGGAAACTCTGAGGATCTGAGTGAATTTGAATTGAGGACGTCAGTCTTAAAAAAGAGTGGTGTGTAGAAATGATCTCTTTTCTTTAAGTAGTCGTATTTACACTTGCCTGCTAACCAGACGGCTGGCGGTTCAAACCCACCAGCCACTCCCCGGAAGGAAGGTTGGGCAATCCTACTTCCCTAGTGATACTGCCTCAGAAACCCAAGGAGGGGTCGCTATGAGTCGGGGCCGACTCGACGGCACATAACAACAACAACAACATCTATTAGGAAATACATTCCCCTACCATTAGTTACAAAGTTGGTGGGTTGCTTGTTACCAGGTAATTTCTGTCTTCAGAGAATGAAATGTCTCCTGACCTTCTGCAACTTTTGCATCTCTTTTCCTGTTTTAAAAAATCGAGATTCATTAGACATCATTGTCAGATGATATCTGTGAGAGTCCTTGATGAGTCCTAATCTTGATTAAGGAAGACTTCCTGGGAGAGGTGGGCTTTTGAGGCAATGATAAGATTGACAGGAAAGAATTAAACGGCAGATTGAAGTGGGAAACTGTTGGAGACATGGTGGGCGGAGGATGATAAGGAGGTAGCAGTGGGAGTAAGAAAAATGGTGCCAAGAGATTTGGCTGGAACAGAAGGGGCAGCTGCGGTAGTCAGGGGTGGGAGGGTGGTAGGACAGTCTGATGAAAACCTGGGACCAATGTACTTTGAAAAACTGATGGGGAATCAGTAACTTTGATGAGAGAAATGGCATAGTGATAGAAAAATATGGCTGCAATTTCAAATGACTGGATTTTAGAAAGTAGAATTATTATTTTGGTAAACTCAGTTCTGCAAATTTAGAGAATCCCTATTGGGTTTCTTAAAGGTCAAGCCATATTTTGTGTGACTCCTGTTGAAAGGAGAACTGAGTTGGTATCTTTTTGCATTTATAATAGAAAAACTATTGCTAATACTTGATAAGCTGGTTTTAATACACTTGCTCCTATCACCTAGGGTAACCCTCTTGTTGGTACTGAAAATCCAGGGCTAGCATTAGCCTTTCAAAGGATGTTTTGTCCTTCCTCTTGCTTCTAAGCAGAGTTGATCATAAACCAGCTATATTAACAGAGGTCTCCAGTTTAGATCATCTCAGAAGAGGGAGCGTTTACTTTGAAACTCAGTGACTGAATAAAGACCTTTTACTATTAGGAATTTTTTTAATTAAAATTTAATACTAAAAGTTTCTGCTGGAATTTTATGCATGTCCTTCTCTGCCAGTGGTGGGAAATAGCAAACTTCTTTTCATAATGACACTTTCCTATGCTCAAAGACCTAGACCATCTCTCTTGAGAGACTAATACTAAATATTCAGTTTATTTTTTCCTGGGTTCCAGTTTCTGTGCTTTTATTGTTTACCCCCACCCCCACCCATTTCATCTGAATTAGGCTAATTAAGTAATCATTGCTGAGTAAGAAGAACAGTTTTCTGAGGTTTGAGTAATGAAACCATCAGCCTTTTGGAAAAATGGAAAGGCCAGTGACATTCATCAATAACAAAAAAATTCTAGGTGGTAAGTCTCATCATAAAATTCCTAGTTTTAAGAAATATGTACTAATGGAAAAACATCCCATGCTCATGGATAGGAAGACTGAACATTGTGAAAATGTCAGTTCTACCCAAAGCAATCTATACATTCAATGCAATCCCAATCC